CCCTGCTTACGAGAAATTAAGTCCATGCGAATCTCCCCATCACCAGATAGTTAAACTCGCCGAAACACAGAGAGTGCCAACCCCTCTCACGACGGAGGCCATGTTCATGGTGGGCTTGTGATGTATCAGGCATTATGCCTCTTTGGCATCCCTGACCACCTGTAAGTACTGGGTAGTATTATGATTTCCAGTTTTCAGATGGAAAAACGGAGGCCCTGAGAGGCAGTGACTTGGGTAGGGCCACACAGACAGCCAGCGGTGGCCCTGGGGTGCCGACCCAGGTCTGCCTGACTCCAGAGCCCCCCTCTGCCCCCACAGTTTCAGCAAGCAGCTCAGAATCCCAGACCATTTGGCAGGAAGGACCCTTGGGAGGCCATAACCTGCGGACTGATGGGGACTTGGCCCCAGAGCGGGGGAGTGCCTTGCTCAGGGACACAGCGAGACCACGCCCTTGGGTTGCGTTGCTCTTGGGTCCCCCCCACTGCCTACCGGCCAGAGGGAACTACGTGCCCTCATCCAAAGCCACCACGCATCGGTGTTCACACTTGTATGTGTGCAGGGCGGGGGAGGGGATGAGTTGTGAGCTATGGATTCCTGGTGCCCCCATCAGAGGTCAGGACGAGAGCCCAGGAACTGGCATGTTATCAAGCACTGTCGCTGAAGGGGACAATCTGGTGGTCCCAGAGCCCCTAGCTTACCCCTCCAGGAAGGGTTCTCAGGCTGGGCCTGGTGCAGGAGGAGGTCTGAGGGCCACAGGGAGCCCCCCCGCCCCCTCCAGATGCAGTCCAGGGAGTGGTGTTTGGGATCCCGGGGAAACTCCGGCACAGCCAGGCTTTCTCCAAAAGCATCACGAATCACCTGCACAGCAATGGCCACTCCACGCATCCAGCCGGCAGCTGCCCGTGGTTCTCACTGCTGCCCCACGGCTCGGGTGGGGCAATGGAGGCCACCCACAGGAAGTGGCCTGGCCGGGCAGGGCCATCACCACACCCCGTGATCCCCCCCCCCCCACCCCAGGCGCCAAGGACTCTGCCCAAGCACAGCCAGTTCTCCCCTACCTTGGCTCCGTTGGAAACAATCTTAGAAAGCGTCAGGCCCTGCCCCTGTGAACAGGGTCCAGGGCACGGTCTGATTTTGCCAGAGGCCCAGACTCAGAGCCAGGCAGGTCTGCCCCGTGTGCTGTCTCTCACGGGATGGGAGGGGGGCTCCCCTATGTGCTCCCGCCCCGGGGTCTCTGCCCTCAGATGTGTCTACTTCCCAGACCGACCCTCCCCCGCCCCCCCCACTCGCAGACGGCTCTGCAGGGCCAGCTCCCCGCCGGAAGGTGGCGGGAGGCCCAGGCCAGAGGCCAGAGGGGTGGGGCCCCACGCTGAAACAGGACAGGGCTGGGAAAGGAGGTGCCTCCCTCCCTTAATCATCTTTGTTTGCTCTATTAAGGGGGGCACTGTAAAGGGAGGGGAAGGGCTGCCGCGAGGCGGGGGCAGCGTTGGGGAAGGAAGACCAGGAAACAAGGCAGCTGGACGCCCAGCTGGACGGATGCGCAGAGACCCACCCACAGAGACCGAGAGAAAGTCGGAGATAGAGACGAGAAGGGGGCGGGGCGGGACGGGGCGAGGTGGGGGCGGGGGGTAGCGGCGAGGGGGAGAGACCCCGAGAGAGGAGCGGGGAGGTCCGGGGGTACCGGTAGTGGGTGAGGCTGGAGCCCCCTGCCGGGGGCCGCCCAACCCCTGTCCCATCCCCTGTCCCCGCACCCGGCGTGACGCGCGCGCGCGCGCACACACACACACACACCGCGCCGCCGGCCCCGGCCACCCGCAGGGGCGCGCGGGCCACCCCCCCCCCC